CCACTGTAAATCTCTGATTCCATAATTATAACATTTTTCTCTTTTCAGATATATATTTCAATCAACTGACATAAATACATCATGTGGTTTTCCTTCTACTGAATACAGTCTGACATGACAAGCACACAGTACCCTATAAAAATGTTGATGAGAGTATCGTTTCTAGAAATTGTAGACTAGATCTAAAAATTGACTCCTGGATAAGAACGTGCCACCCTTTTCACTGATTCTCTTTGACTTATGCAATCTTCACAATAGATAATTAGTTTTGATCTAATTATTTCCAAGTAATTTATCCTTTAAGCTGGAAGTATTCTTGGAATCATTTTTTTCTTATGCAAAGTTCACAATATGCTGAGAAGTTCTTCTAATGTAAATATTGATAGTACCTTTGTCAAACATTCTGTTTAACAACAATCTCTGAACTACCCTGGTTGAACCCACTCAAACATTACTAAGACCTTTCACAAAGTAGTTGAAGAATGCTTAGCAACTCTAGTGTCAGAAAAAGAACTCAGAATGAATATGTCTCTTGTGTAGGTCAAGACAAATGTCAGGGCCAATGAAGGGTGAAATATGATGATGGAGATTTGAAATGAAGGGCTGGGGCAACAGGTGCTTGGCATGAGACACCGAAAGACAGGAGAGAAATGCTGGGCTGTGAAGTAGCAAAGACTACACTTTTCCTCTGAAGCCTCGGGCTTTTCACTGCCAGAGAAACAGATCTCATATACAAGGTAGTCTCAAAGCAGTATCAGAAGAAACACTGAAACTCAGAGTATTTTCTTTTTTTGTCTAAACAGGTCATATCCAAAGCTCCAATGAAGCCACAGAAATCCATCTGAATATGCAGAAACAGATGCAATAGTATTCTCAAGGTGTGTTGACACAAAGGAAAGCTAAAACCAAAACACACACAGGGAAATAGTACTAAGGTTTCCTAGGCATCTCCTTTGTGAAAGGGGCTGTGGTTGACAAGTTCCCTACTTGATTTCTTTAATGCCCATAACAATCCCATGAGGCAGAATTTTTTTCACAATTTTCAAGATAAAGAATCTGACTCTCAGAGAGACACCCAGACTGTAAGTGGCAGACCAGACATTTGAACAGATTTTTCTGGCTTCACAATTGCACATCCATGCTCTGTGACTGATATTGAGTCAGTGACAGGTGGCCTGTCCATTTAACATTAGGTTATTTATTTGACCATTACCAAATAATGCTGAGGACATTTGAGAAACTTAGCCATCAAAAGGTACCACATTACTTTAGTGTACTGTCTTAATTAATAACATGCAGATTTGAAGGCAGACATTGAAGTGCAATGTTCAGATATCACATCATTCAGATGTTGTATTTCCTGGACTAAGCATTTTATTTTATATTTACTGTACCTGAATCTAGCAAACAATATATCATTACTACTGAGGGCTGCCAAGAATAACTTCAATATTTGACTTGTATAAAATTGTTATTGTGCATACCTCAAATAATAATCAAAATAATCTAATCAAGGTGATCCAGTACACAGTTAACTGAACAAGCACAATGTCCATAAAGTTAAATAAAGGCTAAAATACATGAATGTGTTTGTCTGAAAATATATAGGGTATTTAGCTAATTTTTGGAAAACACAAATTGTAATTTTGTGTCATCCTAAATCTTACCTACCCAAAAGAGATGTTCTCATAATTTATAACGTGAAAATTCAAATTGTTAAGATGACATTGGTGTGATAAATATATCTATATATTAGTTAATTTGTATCTAGGTTATCATATCTAGTCATTGTAAATGGGACATAAGAATAGGTTAAAAATGTAGGTATTTATCAAATATTTCTCTGTCTACAGTAAAACATATAGATTAAAATGCATCATATTATCCACCATTAGTAATAAATGAGGAGATTTGAAAAATTATAGAAAGAAGAAAATAACAATGGTTTTCACGCCCATGTAACATAGTTCGCCGATACTAGTAACTGAATAAGTAGAAGCTTGTAGAATGAATGAAGTGTGGTTAATATGATATTGAATGTTGATTTGAAATTTGAATATCAGTGTTTGATTACAACAGAGGTGATAAAAAAATCAGCAGGACATCGTCATTGAGAGTGACTAGTAAGAACCACAACCACGTGCAAGTGATCATAATGAAAGAAATGATGGACTCCTCTCCAGCTAGGTACTCCACGGATGCAGTAGTGACATTCTCAGTGGCCTCAAGACACAGATGATTACATGCCTATAGGGCTGCACCGATGGAAGTATAATCTCTCCCCTGGTCCAAAAAAGGATCAGCCAAGGTACCCAGGATGCCCAGAAGATGTCAAAATCAATTCTTCACTCCTTTTTAGAATATGTGGCCTATTCTTAGTCTAGGGTCCTGCCTCTTTCTCCCTCTGCTTCACTCATTCCATAATGGACCAGGGAAATGAAGGGGCAGCAACACAATAAGTGTCTCTGTTTAGCCAGAAAATTTGTTTTTTGCTCGTCTTTGAGCACAACCAAAATGAAAGTATGTAAGATCTGTAGTAATCTTCTAAACCATGGAATAGCTTGTGGTAAGCATTAAGCTAATTGACAAGAAATGTCTAAGGTGGGAGTTAATTTATGTCTAAGTGACATCTAACCAGTATTCATCGTATATGACATTCCTCATAACTGAATGAATATTCCTTTTATCCAGTATCGAGTTTGCAAGAAGTGAATGTGCTATTCTAAATGATTAGAATTCTAGTGTCAAACAGCAAAAATCATTTTAGTAGAAACATATTATATACATAAGTATATAACACAAAAACAATTTCACCTGAAGCAAATAATAATACTTGTTTGTTGCTTTAATCAGGTTACCTAGAACATGTAGCTGTTTCAGATAATACGATAGGCAAGTTTTACCCCACATTCCGCTTCATATGAACAGTTAGAAAGGTCTCTTCTATCTTTTCTTACATATTCTTACACACAAACACAATTATGCTTGCTGGAGTTTCACTGTCAATTAGATTATCTAAACTAAATTCAGTGATCCTAGACTGACTTTCTACAGAATAACTTTGGCATGTAATTGTCAACCACCTAATAAATATCTAGAAAATATCTTAATTTTCCACCATTTTATTGCATTTTTCTTTAATTCATATTCAAAAATGAAATTAATAATAACTCAAATAAATATATGTGTTTCTAAACAACTCACTCAGTTAATCAGTTACTAGTTGCCAATTTCTACTACTGAACAGAAATATATTAAGGCTTTGTGGTAGAATAAAGATTAATATTTTGGAAATCATAGAGTTATATTTTGGTATGATACAAGCTATAAAATTGTCACAACTATAAGTAATACATGTTATGACCTCACTCAATAGATAAGCTGTGTTTAAATGTGGCTTAATTTTGATTAAAGAACTCTTTTCTAATGTTTTAATAGCTCTAAATGTAAAAATAAATAAGAAAACTCTTTAAAAATGAGTTTCTTGTGCAGAAAGATTCCCCAAGTAACACATCTTATGGACTAATAACAGAATTCAAGTATTAAAAAAAAAGTTAAAAGAAATTTATTTTTTCTTTACTATAAACAGGAAAGTCATGAGGAAAACAATGCTTCATATGCAGGTTTTAACTGGATCATATCGCAGTATTTTTAAATTCTAATTTCAATTATTCATTTTTACTTTACTCATTTCATTTCCAAAATTCTTTCTCCTATTGTTATTTACATGTAAATAGCAAGTTAGCTAAATCCTCATTCTTCACAGAAAAAATTATCTTTGAAAGAAATAAAAGTAAAAATGTTTAAGAAATCTATAAAATTTTGGCAGTTTGCATTTACCATTATCTCATCAATTCTAAACAATCATGTCCAAAATAAATAGTATAATCAGTATTCCTTTTTTTCACCCCAAACATCCCAGTTTTATTTCACATGCCTGGTTGACTATGAAGCAATTTCTAATTTAAAACTATACATTTTTATTCACTTCAAATATAAGAAACAAATAACTTCGACAACTGATAATAGTAATCTTGTCTTTTACTTTTAAGATAATGACTCTAAAATTTATAATTTTCAGTATCAGGAACCAATACTACTTAGTGCACTCAAAATACATATAAAATCACTGCATATATAGATACTATAAAGACCATATTTGTATATACAAATATATATATCATAATAATTTAGATTAAATTAACAGAGTATGAATTCCTTTATTCCACTGTTAGGCACTAATTGCTAATTAGCATTATTTGAATACGGGTATACATGGCAAAATTCATGATTAGAAAACTTATACCAAAGAGTCTTTCACCAGCACGTTTATGAACTATGACCTATGTGAACTGAAGAGACAATAGTGAACCTGCAAGACTGGCTTGCAAAACAAAATCCTACCAAGTGCTTTTTTTGTGGCAACATGATAATTTTAGGTTGCCATCATGATATATCTCCAATCTGAGTGAGGAAAAAAGCCCCTCTGATGATACTGAAGCATTCATAGAAAGAATTACTGATGGCATTTAGTGATCTACTGAATAAGAGAAAACAAAACAATAAATTAGATGTGTTTTCAAAAACAAGGTGATTGTGCAGAAAACTAAAGATTAGTGAAACTAGGTATAATAGCTTGGGCATTACTAAGCTCTAAAGAGAGTTATTGCATTATTGCAAAGATTTGATGATATGGTCCACTGTTCAACTGAAACCACCAAACATAGCATGCTTCACATCTCAGTTTTCAGTCACAGAGCATTTCCAGAGTGTACTTCTGTTCAGCTGAGATACAGTATTGCAGTATCCTTCACACTGCTCTTACAAAATCTATAAATAAAAGCAAGGGCATCATAGGGCATCATTTCTCATAAAACAAATACATGGTTTAGAGTGCACCACAATATAACAAACGACAGTAACCCCTCACACACATTTGTGTGTGTATTGCCTTATATTAATAAAGAAAATAGATATACTATTTTGGAAATATTCCTTACCTGTCAAGTTCTTTAATCCAAGTTCTTGAAGACCAAAGTTTCCATCTTTTCTGTAGTTTAAAAATATCGCCAAGGCATATCGATCCTCATAAAGTTTTGTCCCACGAATAATGCGTAAATTCTCCAGAGGCAGGTAACGAAACTGATTAAGAGCCACTAACACGTAGCCTGTGACTTCCCGAATAGACTGGAAAGACACAAACAATTGCTTGTGTTATAACATTAAAGTTAATTTGTCAGTATATATATGTATATATGTAGTCATTTAGATTAAAATGAATTATTTAACTCTGATATAAAGCTTTTAATTTAATACACTAATTTTCACATCACATTATAAATAATTGGCTTGATAATAAAAAGATCACAAAGAGTTATCTCATTTGAGGTATAAGTTGCATTTCTTTTAAAGAGCCATAAATGTGCTTGTAGTAAAATAATGGATTTTGTCTTATGAGACATTCTTGTTTTATGAGACATACCTGAGATTTGAATAAAGTTAAACGTATAAAGTCTTGTTCATTGACAGATTACAATGAGGTAAGGACATATAACCATCAATCAGACTTTACATAAAAAAACAAATTTGTAAGCTTATCACAAGTAAAACAAAGTTGTATTAGTTTGCAGACTATGGGACAGATTTTAAACTGCTATATTGGTATTTAGTGCTAGATTTGTCAAAGAACACTTGCTCTGTACGTCCCTAGGGAACACACAAATAAACGACATATATTAAAAACTAATTATTGTCTATAAATCCATTACAACCACAGTATTTATTTTTACTCTTCACTATTAAAATTTAGGTGTCTACAATATGAGTTAATTATTTGAAGGTGTATGAGACATTTTAAAACAAAACAATACTATGAAAAAAGTATTTGAGTTTCATCTAAAGTTATAGTTTTTCAGTAACATAAACACAATCATGACAACTAGAAACATATTTGTTCAAATTAAAAGCTAAAAATAATACAAAACTACTGATGTATTTGGTATTATCTTAATACCAAGTTCATGTATTTTAAAACCTTTTAATTTAAGATGTATCAGGACTTTATCCTGTGTGTGTGTGTGTGTGTGTGTGTGTGTGTGTGTGTGTGTGTGTGTCTGCAGTGTATTTTTATCTGTTTATTCTCACTACCTTGGTAATCTTATCCAGTTGAAAAGTTGATAATATCTAACATTTTATACTCTCCCTAAACTCCAGATTCATAATCAACTACCTAGTCAATGCCCTTGGATGGCTGATATGTTTTTCAGATATACTTATCAACAGCTGATCACTCAACTTTCTTCCCTTTACCTCTTCTTATCTCATTGAGGTAAATCCATCTTTTCTGGTTTTCAAGGCAAAATCTTGGTGGTATCTTTGATTCCCCTCTCACACACCATACTATTTGTCCTCCTTTCAAAATGATCAGAAATTCAACCACTTTTTATGTCATCCGTTGCTGTCATCTGAGACACCATCATTTCTCATCTAGATTACTACAATATAGGTCTCCTTGTGTCCACTTCTGATCCCTTATAGTGTATTCTCAATTGAGGTTAGCCAAAATTCTTTAAAAAACATAAATAAAATTATGACATTTCAATGCTTAAAACCCTGAAACATCGTCTAAGTCACTCAGAGCAATAGATAAAATCCTTTTTAATAATGAGTCAAAACCTTTATCTATGCGGTCCGGTGTAGATAAAGCCACATGTGCCTACTGAGCAATTAAAATGTAATTAGCATACATTTAAATATGCCATAAGTGTAAAATACACCCTGGATTTCGAAGATTATAAGTTGAACTGCTAACATTTTAAACAAATTGAGGGAGATAAGAGTTAATATCACCTGTTTCTTTTCACTTTCTTATTGTAGTGACACAAATATTTTAAATTACGTTTTCATCTTTCTCATTATAATTCTGTTAGACAGCACTGCACACTATGATCAGGTCATCAGTTATCTTTCATCTTACATTTCTAATTTTCCATCTTGCTCTCTCTATTCCAGTTGTGCTGATCTCTATGTTCTTTCAAAACGCCAAGTGTGGTTCCATCTTAAGCTATTCAGTAGACCTTTAAGAGTCTGAATTTCTCTCACAGCATTCAACCTTTAGCTTAAATTTCACCTTTTCTGTGAAGGCCAATCCTGATTGGCCTGTTTAACTCTGCAGCCCCTCCACCTCTTCCTGCTCTAATTTTTATGCTTTCCCTAGTACATCTTCCCTTCTAACATACTATACAATCTCTATATTTATCACATGTAGTATTTATAATCTGTCGCTCCACTTCCCATAATACAGCTCTACAAGATCAAGCATGTCAGGTTGTTCATGCTTGTGGTCCATGTGACAGGAACAGTACCCATAAGAATCCAACAATTATTTGTTGAGCACTCTGGTCTTTCTCTCGCCACATGTTTCACCAGAAGGCAAAGTCTATGGAGTCATGAAAATGCCCATCTGGAGTCTGTACTCCTCAATTCTAGGCTATGTTCCAAACCTTGTGATCCCAGAATTCCTTTTCCAAATCACCCAAACCTTCATTCAGGGCCTATGATATCTTCGTTCCCAGTTCTGTCTCCCAGACAGCAGACTGTCAACAATGTGTGCATATATTTAGGAAGGATGGGCGGTCCAGGTGCAGATATGTGATGAGAAACTAGAAACACCCTGGACATGTAGGCTAGCATGTTCAGTAACTTACACTCAAGACTTCTCACAGTACAGGACAGAAATGGGTAGGAGAGAAGCAGGCTGGGGGCATTTCTCTCCCTGCCGCCATATTCCCGAGGGTTCCCAAAATTCTAACATTGCACCTGGCCATCCAGGTTGTTATAAAGATGTATCAGCCAAAATGGAAGGATAGAACATATTTCATTTGACAATCTATTTTTGGCTCAGAATAAATAATGAGATTAAATATGTGAAACTCCATTTATACTCTTTCCCCAGCATGCTGCCTACAATCCCCTAGAAAAGTAAACTCCTAGTTAAACAAAGGCTAGGGATATATGAAATTACTCATCTGGCATCAAATTGCAAACCCTAAACCCCTATGGGTATTCCTGGAATACTGAATCCTGTGGGATGAATTCTTGGGATAGTAGAAAAGAGAGGTGAGAGCTCAACAGTATTATGCATTGTTTGTATACCACAGTTTACTTGAAATTGCATCCTTCTCGGAGAGTCTAACTCCACTAGAGCTCTACAATTCCTCCTTCAAACACCATTCCAGTGTTACCTCTTTGGGTTATTAAGAGAATATAGACACATTCTGGCATCATATGGTCTAAAACATACTTCATGCATTATTTTAAATTTTTTTCTTTTATCTTGCATTCAACCATGATTAAGGGATTTAAGTCACAATTGTAGCACTAGGGTAAACTTTGGAGATGGGGGATGCCTACAACATGTCCTAACATCCATCATTCCTCCTGACAGACTCGCCATTAGCTCCAACCCCTCTTAGGAAGTGACTCTTCTTATCAAGAGCTGTAAAAACCCATTGGTTTATCCTAGGATGGCGAACACATCAGCAATGTTAGCAGAGAAAGCACAGATAAGACACACCCTGGCAAAAGAAGAGGCTCATGAGCAAAAAAGCAATGCTATTAGTAAGTCTGTAGTGTTTATTAGAGCGAGAAATCTTCCTAGTTTTAATTGATAAAGATGTGCCACTTGGCATGGCTTTTGGATCACACATTAGCAGAAGCTGCAAATAACCTGCAAATAATAAGGCCTCTAGTTTGTGGGACATGTCTGAGCCAAGAACAATGCTAAACACATAGAGAAGGATCAACTATATATAGAAGAAAATGTTCCAAGTGCCCTTATCTACAAGAAAAAGTAAATTATAACTGAGAACATCTTTCCATCCACATATTATTTAATATATTTAAGTTTGAATTAATTGTATTGTAAAATGTACATACTTCTCATTCCAGAGCACATGTTGAACCATTCTTAGAAACATTTTTGTCATCTTCATGGATGGTCAGATTAAAAGCAACAGCTGCTCCCTTGTAAAGATTCTGGGAATGGAGGGAATTGGCTGTTTTAACAGAGATTCAGGTGTACAAAACTAGTATCTTTCGTTATTTATTCTGTGTATTACTCTCTGGTCTTCCAAATTAGTATGTGTATTTGAGCATTCACCAAGCCAATATTCTTTTATGTGAACCCTGGACATCATTGCAAAGTAATGCTAAGAATGAGTATGTCAAAGACACTTTGAACAAAGCCCCATAAGTAGATTCATAGTGAATTATTTGATGATAATGATGAGAAGATTCTGTTCATCTTATTTCTTACATGCCTTTCTCCTACTCAGAAAAGTAATGTATATAGTGGGGGTGGAAATGATAGCAAATCTCTTAACCCAAAGATTTGTCGCTCTTACCTTTTATGTCATGGAGCTAAAATGTTTTAAAAATAATTATAGGAGATAAATACAAAATTCTTATATCTAAAACAACACATTGTTAGACAAGTGAGACCCCATCAAACTGAAAAGTCTTTGCACAGCAAAAATAATCATCAAGAGAGTAAAGAGACAACTCACAGAATAGGGAAAAATATTTGCAAATTATGCATCGGGCAAATGCCTAACATTGAGGATCTACAAGAAACTTGAATGAAGCGAAAGGAAAAAAAAAACTCCATTAAAAAAGTGGCAAAGAACATGAGCAGATACTTCTCAAAAGAAAACATACAAGCAGCCATCAGACACATGAAAAATATTCAACCTCATTAATCATCAGAAATGCACATCAAAACTACAATGAGATAACACCTAACACTGGTAAGGTTTATCTACCATTAATTCGTCCACCATTAATAAGTAAAAAAAATAACAGATGCTGACACCGATGTGGATAAAAGGGAACACTTTTATATGACTAGTGGGAGTGCAAGCTAGTTCAACCTCTATGAAAAGCAGTGTGGCGACTTCTAAAATAACTAAAAATTGACCTTCCCTACAATTTAGCAATTCCTCTCCTGGGAATATACATGGAGGAACATAAATTGTTCTACAAAAAAGACACCTGCACGTGCATGTTTATTGCCACACTATCCACAGTAACAAAAACATGGAACTAACCCTACTGCTCGTTGAAAGTGGATTGGATAAAGAAAATAGGGTACAGATACATGATGGAATATTATGCAGCCAGGAAGAAGA